TCTAGAAGTCATATTATTCGTCCACTGCATGCATAAAGGTTGTGATTTCCCTTTTAGATGTAGCTTTTTGGTCAGGGCTTTGTCAATCAATGTAATACTCGAACCTTCATCACAAAGAGCAACAGTTTCGATCATTGTATTCTCCCCATAAAGTTTCACCTTCACCATCCGAAGAAGAACATTACCAGAGCCATGTCCGATGGCAAGGATATTTTCCTGATGTTTCTGACTTGTACTGGGTGTCGAAAGGGAGTCGTCAGTATTTTGTTTTTCCGCAGGCTGAGGGTCTTTGTGGAGAATATGATGATGGTTTCGTCTGCAACCATTTATTCCACACTGTTGCTCGGATCGGCATCTGGTCGTTTGATGGTTGTTTCGAAGGCACGAAAAGCATAACTTGAGCTTTGTCACTACATCCCATCGTGTATCCACTTCGTCAGACTTCATTTTTGAACAATTTGTGATTAGATGTCCTCTAGATCTGCAGTATCTACAATATTCTACATTTTCTCCTTTGTCTGTTGAAACCAAGTTACTTTCATGTCTTTTTTGTAGTGAAAATGTCTGTTTAACTTTTGATTCAACCTTAGGGTTTCTTGAAAAGTTCACGAGACTTGCCGCGGATGCTTTCTCATTCAACCACACCGAAAAATCTTGAAGATTCGCACGTCTACTGCTGTGCATGATTTTCTCACCCCACTGTAGTTTCAAAGAATCGGGCAGTTTTTGAATCAGGTCACGCAAAAGTTGAGGATTTTGAAGGTGTTCATAATATTCAAGAGACTTGATTGTTGCCACAAGACAGTTAAGATTGTTTGAAAACTGAATCAGTGAGTCCATATTATGTTCTCTGACGAATGGTAACATTTTTGTCTTGGTGATTAATCCATCAATAATTTGGTCTGGACGTCCGAAGCGCATTTGAAGGGTCTCCAATATCAAATCAATATTCGCCGAGGTGGTCAACATGCCTGAGACTGCCAGTCTAGCCTCACCTCGGAGACACTTTTGAAGTTTGATGATTTTTTCTTCTGGCGAATATTCACATAATGTAGAAATTCGTTTGAATTGATTGATGAACGTGGGCCATTCCTCGGGGTTTCCATCAAAGTAACTGAAATCTTTTTCCACCACCTGCCTGGCTATGAATCTATCTTGTCTTGGCACGGAGGAAACTGATTTTATAGCTTCACTTATAGTTTCACAGAGCTGTCTGATTTCAGTGTTTTCACAGTTATTTTGCATAATTTCTGTCCTCTTTATTTCTTGTTGACAACCGGAATTATTTTCAGGGATACTGTTTACCCATTGTATGGTATTTCTTTCACACTGGTCTTGAGGTAACCTGCTTTTCACTGATAAAGTTTCGTCTTGTTCTATTAATTCTGTTTCACGTACTTCGTTCTCAAGTACCAGCAATTTGAGTTCATTTTCGAGTTTTTTCATTTCGATGGCCTGTCTCAACTTCTCGACCTCTAGGGCATGTCGTTTTCTGTGCACAGTAAAACTACTACTCACAGAGTTTTTTGTCTTCTTTGAACAAACAGATGACTTATCCAAGTTATCATTGTCAGGTTTGGATTTCGGAGTTACATTCGCTTTGTCAGTCTGGCTAAGTGACTCCTCTTCCTCTGGGTTTTCATCCTGATTGTTCATATTCATAATATTTACACCCTGGTTTGGCTGAAGTATCGTCGTATTATCATTTATTCTTGTCACATTGACTTCTCTTCTTGACATATTTCCAAAATTTTGTGGCCATTCAAAATCGTTGTCAAGATTACCGTGAGTACCTGCTGTTCTCCGGGTACTGGTGAATTTCTTCAAATTCTCATCTCTGGGCTGCATTTTCCAAAGAACCAGTTATTTGAATCGAAGGACCAATGTTAAATCTCTTTCGTCGAATAATCAAAAATTGTCTTGTCTTAATTATACCTTTTATTTCGTCCCGTACAATTAGAACTCTGACGTCTTTCAAAATTATTATTTTTCACTACTATCTTTCTTCTCTATCAAACCTCAATGACATATCCAAACTATATACAAAGCGTTCAACTAAAATATAACGAAGTAACAGAACAAGTACATATTATGTCCATGGAAAAGACTAAGACATAAAATACAGAAGGCCAAAAACTATAAAAAGTTAAGGATTATAAATGAGTGATTAACAGGTTTTATCTCTTTCCTGAAAGAACATGATTAATTAAACAGTTCAATTTGATCATAATTTGTCCTACAGAATGGTATCTTGAAAATGTCACCATTTTTTTCTCAACTACGAAATATAGCCACAATGCTCAAAGTGGAATGAAATGTTGAATAAATACAGAGAGCTCGAATCATTTCCACACAATGTTCATAAAATGAACAACAATGGTAGATTTACATCCTCCCGAAATCTATGCATCGACTCGTATAAACGAATACTGATACAAGTGATTCTTTCCTGAATGCCTATTGATTTCGATTTAGCCAGGCCACGCTAGACACCCACAGACCAGTTTCGAGCTCTTTGACTATCATCAGTGCAGTTTAATCTGCAGCCAGCAGTCCTGAAACTGCCGACTCAGCGCAGCCTAGCCAAACAAAAATCAAGTCGGCAGTATGTTTCCCCAAAGGCGTCTTCCATCGACAATATGAAAGCAACGCAATCTGAGTATGACAGAAGGAAAGAATCACTCCAAAACTAAAATTCCTATACGAGAGTGGCTGGTTGCCCGACTGTCGTAATCGTAATGTCAACTACGAAATAGCCACAATGCTGACCGCGGTCTTAGGACTGCTAGCTGAGAGCTCGAAACCGGTCTGTAGGTGTCTAGCGTGGCCTAGCTAAATTGAAATCGATAGGCATTCAGGAAAGAATCACTTGTATCAGTATTGGTTTGTACATGTCGATGCAAAGATTTCGGGAGGATGTAATTCAATGTTTTGCGTGGCATATAGCCAGGAAAGTAGTTGTTTTTCTCCCGAAATCTACCATTGTTATTCATTCTATGAGCATTGTGTGGAAATGACTTTGAGCTTTTCGTATTTATTTCTTTTTCTTCTAGGGCTATCAAAATGTTTTGTTGAAATCAGAACATAAAGCTATAAGGTGTCGCCCGATTCATGATAATGTTTACATTATTAAATCAATAACTATGAAGTACATGTTCAAGAGGGCAGATGAATTAGTAGTTTCCGATTTTTGTGACGAATAAGCCAAACATCTTCTGTGGAAAATTTGTATTCCTTCATTATGTATATCTAACACTGAAATTTAGTAAAAAAAAGTTTGATGAACAGAATCTGAACCCAGGACCTTGGCTCACAGGACGATACGTTGTTTCGTGTTTTCTGGCGAAATCATGTGAAAAACAGATTTATACAGGAAGCATTCTGATGTTGACAACGAAAGCGCAACTTTTGCACATTTTGATTGATCTAAATTTCCGGAGCCTGCTCCCTAGACGTAAATCACTCTCTGCAGCTTTATCAATCGCAATATTCGAGACGAAAACCCATGTAAACCTCTTGAATGGAAAATGTCAACTATTTTTATGTCAAATTGGTTATGATAAACTGCATAACTATAGATTTTTCGATAAGTATATAGGTAACAATTTCAGCAAGTTAGTTCTGTCTGCCTACTCCGAAAAACACTAACTTCCCAAACTATACCAGCAAAATTCTACTTTCTCAAGAGAAATATTTTCTTGGAAATGGATACTTGCCGGACGGTTGCAAAAAAAAAATATTTTAGTTTTTTGTTTCGTAGCCACTCGTAAGGTTATCATTTACATAGAAGATTTTCCATACAGGGTGCACATAATTGATCAAGTACTCATTATATTATATATATAAACAAGGAACTTGTTTTTTTACAGTTCCCTCGATATCACCTTCATTTTATATATATATATATATATACAGTATGATGCAAATGTATGGAATAAATTCATTATTTCAGAAATGGGCGACATTTGGAGAAATTCCAAAAACACGTGAGTTTTAATTTTTGAAGCCTCATCTCATGACATTCATATGAGAGATGTTACGTCACTGGTGTTGGAGTAATGACGTAATGGACGATTTTTTCAAATACAAACAGGGGTCACGTGACACCTCGTTTGAAAGGTCTACCGATCGTCTATCCAACAGTCAAAATCTTGCATAATAAGATTGGAATTAAACTGGTTTATCATTCGGTTAACTGAATCTTGCAGAGGTCTGCTACTGAGAATTGAACATCGAAGGGTCGTCTAGTTGAAAAAATACACAATAAAAAAAGTTCTGAACTCTAGTTTTTGGATTTTTTTCGGGAGTCGTCTTGTTTTGAAATGAATTTATTCCATACATTTGCATCATACTGTATATATAGGATCGCACGAAAGAGAAACCCTTTTGTGTTCAAGAAACATGGTGCAGAATAGATTTTCTATGAGTTCTTGGAAATACATCATCTGGAAAAGAATTCCAAATCTTTGCAATTTTATAGACAAACGAGTTTTTGTAACTGACCTGACTTGTCGAGTTCGTCTGAGTGATATTGCTATTGATGAAGTGATAGCAGTGATTTATAAAGAATATTTGACGTGGTCTATCATCTGCAAAGCTGTGGTTATTCTAACAGATCATCAATATGGAGGAACAATGTTGGTACCAAAATTGATCCTCGTGGATTGCCGAATCGGAAAGATTGATTTCTATGATATCAGACGATACTCAGTCCACCATCATATTTTGGCATTGTATGTTGTATGCTCCTCTTTTGATGCATTGAGTCATTGTTTGACAGCAGTTATTTCTGTCTTCCAGCTGTGAACTCTTCTATTTCCACGATTCTCTGACTACAACATTCGTTCTCAGTATTCCTGATAGGAATTTTCCAAAATTGCAACATTAATCTCACAATGATTTCAATAACTGCAGTATCATTTCGTCAATCAAACTATAAGTTGCAATATCGATTTCACAATGAGGGAATATGATAATGATGCACAAAATTTGATTTGCAGAACTGGAATTTTTGGTGTACAGCTCAAAATGCAAAATTGTGAACCTGAACCCCTTCAACAACGATGCCAAAAAATACTTCCATCCAGAAAAATACAAAGCTTGCCGTTCCTTGGAGCTCTTGACGTACGTGACAAAAACCGACAATACAGCAACTCTTCATATTGACTATAACATTTCACCGTCCTACACCAAGAAAGGAATTTCCTGCTGCTATTCAAATGTGACCAGGAAAATCAACAAAAGTCATCCAGACAGTGCAATAACGTGAGTAGAATAATTATTTATGGAATAAAAATATGATGCGATTCTTTTTTGCACCACGTCAAGAACTACCTATCAGTAAAATCCATACTATACGGGAAAGAATATGATGCATTTGTAAGTTGGTGTTCTCAGAAGATAGTATCTATTGTATCAGAACATATCCTTTCAGGTGGATCATTCTTGCCCAAAAATTGGGCAAAACGTTCATAATGAATCAATAGTCCGAATATGTTTCCTAAGGAAGCTACGCCTCTATAAATACCCAACTTCCTACAATTAAATCTTGAAAATTGGTGTACGATTTTAACATTCCAGTAAGAATTTGAATTCGAAACGGTTCAATTTTATTCAAGGGTGTCACATGCGGAGGAGGGTAAGGGTAAGAACATCCTATTCTAGAGTTTTTACGTTGATAAAGTACTCTTAGTTCAATTCGATACTTATAGCGTACCATTCACAAGAGAATGAATTTTGAACAATTTCTGATTTGTGTATATTTATTGATGAAAATCAATCCAATATTGATAGGAGCTTCTTACCTTATTTTTATGCAAGGATTACACTCCTCCAAAGGATGCTGAAACACCTTGTATAGGTGCTTATCTCAGAGTAATTTCTTGGAAGAAGGGCCCGCTATAAGCCGAAAAAGGCGAGAGGTTTCAGGAGACAAGTAGTAACTAAATTTCTTCTTAAAGCGGTAAAAGTGCACTTATCATGCGATGGGGTTTTTTTCGAAAAATTTTTTTGGTACTTACGTATTTTTGTCTGGAAAACACGAATTTCATAATGAAAATGTAAACAAACCACTATTTATCGATATATTTCAAGAAAAAGTTCGAAATTTTGCCTTCTTTTCCCCCTTGTGTTGGATGCATTTACAGGTAAGTACTTGCTCTTATTATTTTGTCATTGGACACTTTATATACTCATGATGTACTTCACTAACACATTTTAAGATAGAAAATTCAACAGGAAATATGATTTTTATGGCGAGTTTTTCCTATTTAGTGAGCAAGCATACCAGATGACGGCCATTTAATCCATATGCAATCCAAGTACGAGATGTCAAATGTCAATAGATTGCTTTGGAATGACATTACACACGCCATTATTTCAAATAATATTCTTCCTTCTTTTCTCTATACATGGATAAATCACAAGAAAATCATATTTCTAGTTGACTCATATAATAAAAAAAATGTGTCCAACATTGTGTGATATATATAAATTGTCCAATGATGGAAAAAGAAGGGCGAATTGTTCTAAATGTGATCCAGAAGACAGGCGGAAAAGATGGTGAAATTTGTAACTTCATAGTGAAATATCTCGATAAATAGTGGTTTGTCCACATTTTCATTATGAAATTCGTGTTTTTCAGACGAAAATACGTGAGTACCAAAAAAAATTTTCGAAAAAAAACCCATCGCATGATAAGTGCACTTTTACCCTCGTTTCTATAAAATAAAAGTATTCGTAATATTTCAATATATTTGTAGACTGACAAATCAGATGATTTGCCCCAAAATGTTACTGCGTTTAACCAAAAAATAATAATCAGATCACTTCATGATCGAGCCAATTGACATTCATTATACAGGGCGTGGAAAGAAATTCTGAATTGAGACTCTATCACGAATCTGCGATAAGAGGTCTATAAAAATCACAAGTTTCCATCGTTCAATGAGATCCATTCTAACTCAAACAAAGCCAAAAAATGAAGAACAATCATCAAAAATTTGTATTTATAGTATACCTTGTGTTCGTGGAAAGTATTATACAGGTGAAACGAAAAGACCTCTCTCAGTAAGGACTAAAGAACACAAGTACAATATCAAGAAAAGACATATCGATAAATCGAAGCTAACTGAACATATCCTTACCGAAGATGGACAACATATGGCAGAGTGGAATAATATCAAAATCATAGGAAAGGTAGATTAGAACCAAAATAGAAAAATCAAGGAATCCGCTAGGACTCTTTTGAACGGAGACATGCAATAGCATTGCTTCCTGTTCAGTTGATATAGATAGAACATGGTATCCACTACTGAACTGAACATGAAAATGGTAGATTCAAGATCAATTAATGAAAACATCCTGCAAATCATTTGTAGACTCAAATCACTCATTCATATGCCAACATCAGTATGACACTGAAAAGTGTCAAACTATACGCAGCACAACTTTCAAAGAAACATAATTCGCATTTACATGTTGAGAACGGGAGCAGAATCGGTCCCGAAACGTCCAAAGATGAGTAAAAATTCGATATTTTTTCAATATATCTATATTTCTTTCTTTCAAACATTATTTCAAACAAATTGTCACTGACAAGCTACTGGATTTTTGATTCAGACTCCTTTATAAAAGAATTTGTTAAACGCAGTGACATTTTGGGGCAAATCATCTGATTTGTCCCTCTACAAATATATTGAAATAATACGAATACTTTTATTTTATAGAAACGAGGCGAGAAAATCCCAAAGAATCAAGTAAAATGAATGTACCACCTCCTCGATTAACCTACAGACAGTATTTATTCAGTACGCTGTTATTCGTCGAAGCTGTCATAGTGTCCCATCAAAAGATTAGATGCATAAAAATTGTTAAGTATTTGTATTGCTTTGTGGTTTCGGACGGATGGATCTATAATAGTATGAACTTTTATATATTTTTCAGGCACAGAACGGAATTATCACGGTATATGTATGTAAATTTTTCAATCCAAACTTCACAGCAAATCTTCAACATTTTGAAAGCATCAAAAAAGTTAAAGAACAAATTGACCTGCGGACCTGATGGCATTCCCGCCAAATTAATAAAAACACATATATCCCACCTTCACCTACCTCTTAAAATTATTTTCAACACCATGTTACGCACGGGTCGGTTTTCTAAACTTTGGAAAATCTCACGTATCTGATGTCCAGTTCACAAGTCAGGTAAAGTAAGCGACATAACAAATTATAGGCCAATTGTTCTAATATCTATTTTATCTAAACTGATTGAAATTATTTTATCGGATTTAATATACAGTCATATTGTTGGGTCCATATCAGAATTCCAACATGGATTTGTAAAAGCTCGTAATACGATTTCAAACCTCTGTACTTTCACTCAATATGTTTAAAATGCATTGGATAATAGGAAACAGGTGGACGTGGTTTACACCGACTTCAGTAAGGCTTTTGACAAAGTGTCTCATCAATTACTGTTGAGGAAGCTGGACCAATTGGGAATTTCCACTAAACTTCAGAGCCTTCTGAAATGTTACCTGTCGGATAGAAATCTGTATGTTGAGTATGAAGGAGAAAGAAGTTTTGAGTTCACCGCATGTTCTGGAGTACCACAGGGATCCAATCTAGGGCCGCTACTGTTCCTTATGTTCATTAATGACATATACAGGCTGATTCACGGTGGATGGCACATTAGACGTTTCTGGTGAACCAGACAACGGATCATTTTGAAAATTCAAGGGAGGGCATATTCGGACATTCTCTAGCCAACTAAAATATTTTCGACAATGCGGTGTTGCCGCTTCTATTAGAAAGGAGTAGCAATTTTGATTTTTTAAATGGAACACTCTGTATTTTATTGCATTTTTAGATTCTCCCTGAAGAGCAGATTTCATCGATGCATCAAACTTGGGGTCTAGCGGAAATGATTACAGAGATATAGGGTGTGAAAAATCGACATTTTTCAACTTTAGGAATTTTTTTTGTCGAAACTATTCATTATTGGTCAAAACGGCTCACATGTCCCTATCTCAACTTTTGATCAATTATCTACTAACATTTAATTGAAACAAATACAGGGTGGTGCAGAATTCAGAATCTTGATCACCCGGTATATGTCCCAATTAAATATCAGTAGATAGTTAATCAAAAGTTGAGATAGGGACATGTGAGCCGTTTCGACCAATGATGAATAGTTTCGACACAAAAAAATCCTTAAGTTGAAAAATGTCGATTTTTCACACCCTATATCTCTGTAATCATTTCCGCTAGACCCCAAGTGTGATACATCGATGAAATCAGCTCTTCAGGGAGAATCTAAAAATGCAATAAAATACAGAGTGTTCCATTTGAAAAATCAAAGTTGCTACTGCTTTCTAATAGAAGCGGCAACACCGCATTGTCGAAAATATTTTAGTTGGCTAGAGAATGTTTGAATATGCCCTCCATTGAATTTTCAAAATGATCCGTTGTCTGGTTCACCAGAAACGTCTAATGTGCCATCCACCGTGAATCAGCCTGTATGTGATTCCATTGAATCGAATAAGCTCCTTTTTGCTGATGACATGAAAATATATAGTGAAATTCATGACATAACGGACTGCATTTTTTTACAGCATGATCTGTCTAACCTTGTGAAATGGTGTGACTCCAATAACTTACCACTCAATATCAGTAAATGTTAAGTGATGACATATTCACGTAAGTCTCCTATTGTACACAACTATGTATGCTGAACGATAACATTGTTATGAGGGTGCATGAATGTAAGGATTTGGGAATAACGTTCGACACGAAGTTGACATTCTCTTCCCACATAGAAAATATTGTTAATAAATCAACACGCCTACTCGGATTCGTTATACGTAATTGCAAAGAATTTCAATCTGTCGAAGCAATGAAATGTGTATACTTCTCTTTGGTTAGGACGAAAATGAAATACGCCAGCCAAATATGGAATCCCTATCATAATAAGTATATTGACAAACTTGAGAACATTCAACGTGAATTTTTAAAATTTATTTATTTCAAAGTGCACGGCTCGTATCCTGTGAGACACTATGATTATCACCTACTTTTGAATGAATTCAATATTGTCTCTTTAAAAAAACGTCGTGAAATTGCTGCTCTCTCCTTCATCCATAAACTTATCCACAATGAAATCGATTCATCAACTTTGTTGTCTTTCTTAAATCTCAATGTACCCCGCTCAGTCTCTAGAACTAGCCGAACTTTCCATATTGATGTACCTAATTCGCAGCATCATTGTCAAAATGGTATTAATTATATGTGTAAATGTTTCAATAATTTACCCTCAGTAGATATTTTTTTTTTTGAGTTCTGGTCACTTCAAAATAGCTCTGTATAGGCTCATATCAAACTAACATAATCATTGGTTGAAATAGTGTTCTTATTTCCTGTTCATTATCATACTCATAGATATTTATGTTATAGTCATAGTGTTATACTATGCTTAGATAAGTATGTGATGCACATTCTCCTCTTGTTATATACTCCTGTAATTGGACTTCTAGTCTGTTGGATGTATTACTTCAATAAATAAATTAATAAATAAATAAACATGCGGAGATTCCTTGTGTTCAAATGAAGAAAATAGTAGTTCACCTAACAAGTGCGTATTGTCACTTCACGCCACAAATGTTAGGTACAATATGCCTTACTAGCGTGCGAAAAAACCATAAATTCCTCTTTTCCGAACTCATTTGTGTGTTGAAAGTTTTTCCGTACTTGTGCAGAAAAGTGACTCTCTCAACACTAAATTGAGTGTTGAAAAGTAGACTTCACCGCACGCTAGTAGAAAAAAAAATGTTTCATTGGATGCCATCAAGTTTTGTGTTGTGCTCGAAATAACGTTGTTGCCTCATATGTAAGATGAAGTCGTTCCTTTTCATACATTCGAATGAATAAGTTACATTTTCATACAATTTATTCCTGATGGTACTTTTGCGACAAAAATTTCGAAATCTTTATTTTTTCAACGGAAGAAATCTCAAAAATTCATAGTCTCAGTTGAACATAAAGGAATTGGAAAAATATGTCAAATTTGATAATATATCAATCCTACTGAGGTTGGGCACTAAAGGGTTAATTCAGGCATGTCATCACCATATTTATATCTATCAGATTTCTCGACTATGATATTTGATTTGACATAATGAAATCGATGTTTTCGTAGCGAAGAAGATAATTTGCATGATGTGACTCGAACCAATTTCTGAACAACTTCAAAGACTCTAGAAGAAGAAATTCTTGGATGTTTGTGCCTAAAAATGATTTTGGTACATTTTTCAAATTTTGAGGCTCGAGTATCTCTGATTTTTCATCACGTTGTGATTTCAAGTCGTCCGATGAATAAGATGAACAGTTGGAAATTTAGTTTAAACAACATCATGTTTGAGCTTCGAAATTTTGTCAATCTATTGTTTCAGTTTTGCCAGATTTAAAAGACATTATTGTACTTGGATGGAATAAAATCCTCTTAGAGCGAACTAAAATAGTTATTTAACCAACTAGTGTATTAATTAATGAGGTAGATTAACGATCGTGATATTTTAACGTGCGAGCGGAGCGAGCGCGTCAATGTTCGAGATCATTAATCGCCCTTTAATATACGAGTTGGTTACACAATTTTTCCGTCGACCATATTTCTCATTTCTCCTGCAATGAAAAAAACTTGGTTCGCGAATTCATCATTCATCCGGAAACTACTGAGAATCACCCAGTAGCCTTGTTACTGACATTAGTGACATTTGAAATTTGTCGAAATGATCAACATAGAAAATAAATTCCTTGTGTTAGAAAACAGGGATTAAAATCGTTTCAGAAACTTGGAAAGGCGAACCTGTTAACGGAAAATCTTCGATGAAATCCATATTTTCGATTTTAATGCAGATTCCGTAAGTTATAGCATAAACAATGAATGCACGCGGTGTATGTTTGGTTGCCTATAAAACAATCGTGCATTAATAGACAAATTGATCATTAATAGAGGTCACTAATGAACGATTTCATAAACATTAAACTAACTCGTTATCACGAGGTCGACGGAAAACGTACTTTTGGTCCATCCTTGTAATTTTCTCGGCACTCTAGAACGGTCACGCTAGTATACACTACTCATGAGACATCATTATTTCGTCATCCATTTTGATGAATATTCAACAAAGATATGCGTTAGTAAAAAACCTAAATCACGACTAAGTTCAAAGTAGTCGCCTGATGTATGAACAAGCCTTCGAACCATCAAAGATAACTTCACGAGGTACTCACGTCATAGCCTTGTGACGTTGTTTATTTTGGCAGTAGCGGTTCGACAGGGGCTGGCCTTCATGCCAAACAATGCTTACGTCATAGAATTTTTGATGCTCAATTCTTCATTCAAAAATCAATAACATTGGTAGTCCTTTGTAATCTTAACATTGCCTATTATTTACAGAATATCCTCCTGCAAGATCTTCGATAGCAACGTTACCATCTACAACGATCCAGTCATGGTCAAATGTACAGAAGTGAACAATACCGACAACAAAATTTACGAAAATGTGCACATCGCAACTCTTATGAAAGACGATGTGAAAAAGAAGCTGGACATTTCAGACAATAACACCAAACCCCTTAGCGTTTTGTTCGTCGGGATAGACAGCATTTCCAGACTGAGCTTCATAAGGGCTTTGCCGAAAACTTTCAAGTTCGTGGAGGACAACGGCTGGATTCCCCTCAAAGGGTACAATAAGATGGACGACAATACCTTCCCGAACCTCATGGCCATTCTGACTGGATACAACCAGACCCAGTCGTACAAAATTTGCAACCCTAAAGTTGAGGGGATGTTAGACAAGTGTGATATGGTGTGGTTTGATTATAGAAAACTGGGCTACGTAACAGCGTATGGTGAAGACGAAGGTTCGATTAACACTTTCAATTATGGAAAAGAAGGGTTCACCGTTCCTCCAGCTGATTATTATTTCAGACCTTACGTATTGGCAACAGAAAAGCTCAGCAAGATAAGGAAAGACTCTATGACTTACTGTACGGGTGAGTAACGGTAAAAGTGTATGGAGGTTTTGAAACTTCCCCACGGAACATTTCAAGCCAAACAGTAAACAATGTGCTTACTTCGCCTAGTAAACTTTTCAACAGCTGGATTTCAGGATTAAGAATTTGCCTCGATAGTACCTACCCTGCTTTGTTCTTTCGAGCCGGTAAGACCACGTTGCCAGGGCAACCACGAATCAGGATAAAACAACATCTTGTCATTTGGTATGACATGGAGATAACAGTTTCATCAGGTCGTGGAATTGTCCCAATAAATACAACTCGTTTTCACAAAACTATCGAAAATTCTGTCAGAAATCTTGAGTTCCATCAAATTACTTTGAGGTTGATAGTTCAAGTGCTACATGTTGATTCAGATGAGAAGTTTGTATCTTTCAAAATGGCACCTGAACGCCATTTTGAAAGCTTGTTTTAAATGGAATCAAAGGTCAAATGATACGTCATTCGAAACGTCTTTCAATTCTCTATATAAGGTTTTAGACAAAAATATTCATCCAGAACAAAATGGCGCATGATAATATTGAAAATCTCATATCAGGATCATTTCGACATCAATGAAAAATTCCTGTCTCTCAAGACATTTCTCCATCTCTTTAGTATGCGCTCGTCACTTCGATTTCTGTCGTATCAAGTGTATGATTGTTGGGTAATGCTCACACGGAAATTTGCGAGAGGAGTCGGTGTAATTTCATCTGAAGAAATCAGCAAGAATATGAAAATATCAATTCCGCGAACTACACGGAACATAAAATCGTCAATGATGATTTCGTCTTTCATTTATTGTATGTGTCAATGGTCGTTGATTTATCGAGATAGACAACACACGAACTTTTTCCATTAGATGAATCTCCTCACTGACTCAAACATGTTTCATCAGCAATTTCACTTGAAAAGCTGACATTAGACCTAACAGTCTCGCAATTCTTTCGTCAGTAATTCTCCTGAAGTAACTGATTGGCTTCTTTTTCTCTAAGAAGAGTTATTCATCCGGTCGAGAAAAACGTATTGATGTGTTTGTACTGTGAATAAGGAGCTACCTAGCTTTCTATTAATTGTATTCTGATTTCATTATCAGTCGGCAAGAAATTTCAATTCAAGAAAAATATGAAAGAAAACCCTCGAGCAAGATTTTTTTCACTCTCTTGAGTCTCAATTTTTTGCTATGACAATGAAAAATTCTACAATTACTAGAGCACTGTCAGTGACGTCATATTATGACGAAAAATTGTCGGCTGACATGTTCATGATTCCTCTGGTGTGCCCACTCTTCAATTGTTTCATCAGACTGATTATCGATATGAACAATTGAATGCGAGTTCGGAACGTGGGGTTCTGATATCCTATGAAAAAGTATCTTGGGATTTGGTTTGATGATAAATTGAAGTGGGACAAACATATAAATGTTTTGAAGAAAAAAATATCTCCTATTATTGGAGCCCTGAGAAGATGTCCCAAGCTGAATAAAAAAGTTGCAAATATAATTCTATATTCTCATATACTCAGTCGTATTAACTATTTGATAAATGTTTGGGGATACTGTTCAAAAAACAATTTCAATAAAATATCTGCATTATATAAAAAGACATTGAAAGTACTGTATCGTTTACCATATGATACACCAACAAATCAATTATATAAAATAACTGAATCATTCTCATTAGAAGAAATGTTCAAAATCGAAAGACTGAAAATTACATACAATATCATAAATAAAAGATTGAAATCTAATTTTATTTTAACACGAAACAATGAAATTCATGATTATCAAACTAGACAACATGGTTTATTTCATCTTGATATCGCTAATACTTCTATAGGCCAAAAAAGATTCACCCACGCTGCTCTCTTGGAATATAACAAATTACCAGAAAATATAAAAAATTGCAGAAATACAATAAAATTCAAATACCATCTTAAAAAATTTATCATTTCTGAACGAAATAGATGACTTGTTTTTTTTTCCAACTTTTGATTCATATTCAAATTGATTTTTGCTCACCAATATGAAATGATTTGTCAAACTTTAATAATTAATGTTTTCAAATATTTTATTATTCATCAGTTCATTATAATTGTATAGTTTTAGGTATTATTGTTAACTATACTTCCTTATACCAGAACTTGATTCTGACTGGAAGTAACATTTTCAATAAATAAATAAATAAATAAATATGAAAGATGGCGTGAACGATGAAGACATTCTTGGAAAATTTATAAATGCGTTTCGAATCTTATTATGAAGTTTGTGGACCTGAAAAGTATCGCTGATGATGCAAGTTTCCAATATTAGCTGAATAGAAGCATCTAGAGACAGGACGCGAACCAGACAGAGCGCTAACCAGACAGGGCGCAAGAAATAATCGGTGCGGAAACACCTTGATCTTGACTCGACATATCTGTCACCTGTGTCACGTTTCAAGTTTCTGGAATATTCATGATTTATTTTTTCAAATTTCGAATAGAAATATCATAAATTATTTTGGATGATAATTTATAAGAGCATAAGTAGTTCAGTGGGTGTATTGTGCTTCCACCATGGACTGACTTTGCTGCAATGTGTGAGGTTCATTTGAAATTCCGAACATTCGTTTCATTTTATGTACCAAAAGTGAGTGAATGAACTATTATCACAGGATTTCCTTGAGTAAGGACTCCGTGTGGTGTATGAATTCACCATAGAAAGTCGAAAATATAACGCACTGTTTCTATTTACACAAAAAATGGTGACAATGGAAATGTGAACTCAAATGAATGTGTCATGATGCCTGTATATTTGGTTTGATTTGACTTTCTATACATCTATTTGTCAGCTATTGAACAGCTGATTGGTGACAAGCAATTCCGTACATGTAAATTTCTCGCACATTCACCACTACACCACCTGCAGCATTCATTTATCTACAAGTTTGTTAATTCATTTATCGTGAATACTTCAGTGAATACATTGAGAGAAGTGAATGATTTCAATGAAGAGTTCAAATAAGCTCATTTGTCATTTTAGAATCACTGGATTTACTCCTGCTCTCATAATGACAAAATCACAGTGACTTAAGGAATTTTGTAAACTTACATGTATCTTACGTGGATTGAATTGTCGCCTAAACAATGCAAGTTTCTCAAAAACCATTTTTCATCTAGTATGCGCCAGTCACTTCATTTCGTATCAAGTGTCGGCATTTATTGTTCACACAAAAATTCGTAAGATAAGCCGTTTCAGGGAAATCTCGGTTATAGGGCTCGCAAACTACAATAAATATGAAATAATCAATGGTCAATTATTATAGACTGTTGGCCCGCGACACAGGGTTTATCGATGTTCTAAGTCGGTATGCCATTTGGGTCCCACTCACTTAGTCCAAGTTAACAGGAAGGAGTGCCTCGGAGAGTCGCAACCCAGTCCTTGCCCCGGCCCTGACCTCACCTTTCGGTTAGAAAAAAGTTCAAAATATTGTTTAAGAAGAAGCTCGGCAAAGAAGTGCAATGATCTTATCTCACGAAAATTGGGGCGCTTGCCGGTTTGCATACGCCTAGGTCACTCCCCAAGGGCGGCATACGAACCGGAAGTGGTAATTTTTCAGTCTAATAGTCGATGATCTAAGAATGTATGCCCTTTGGCGAAATAATGAATTCGGACCCATTAATCAGTTTCCCGACATTTGCATACGATTCCGGAGAGGGAAGCTCGATTTATTCGAACATCAATTGACTAGACATCTTTCAAATAATCTATAATCGAAGAAATGTTCAAATTTTGACCATGGTTAGTGGGCCACACAGTATATATGAGATGATGGTTTGCATACAATTTGCACATTCCGTATAGGGTGGTTCACCATAGATATCTCCTATTGAAACTCTGTTGTTTCTGAACCGATTTTAAAATTTCAAAAACCAATTAAAATGATTTTCCCAAGAGATTTTTCATTGTTATTAAAAAATTTACAGTCTGTTGGTATTTGTTGATTTTTTTTACTGGAACACTATATTTTATTTCACTATTGAGTTGAGATTATCACGACGAATACAGCTCTACAGCATCTAGCGATATCATTTTACGCAGCACTCTTATAGCGATCATGCCAAATCGTCAAATTGTGCCAGAAATATGAATCTCGGGTTTGAAGTATTTTCATTTATTTTTTGCTGATACAATTTTGATATCTGAACAATGATTTGCTATATTTGGCATTTCGATGAACTATAGTCACCAGAATCATCGAATACACATTGTTGCCTTGCTACATTCCAAATTACCCGTTCTCGTTCACACAGACAAGCTATATTTGGCATTCGAATACAGGGCGTTTGGGAAATTTGGTGCACAATTGCGACACGATTCTAACAAAATTTACCGAAAAATTCCATCAATCTTTCTTTTCCCACAAAATGAAAAAAAAAACCTTCCATCATCTACACCCACCAATACAAAACGTGAGCACATTGTACGGCCCGTGCTACAAATAAATCTGAGCAAGATACGAAAAAATTTCAATGGACAAAAATTTTTTGAAATTTTTTCAAAAATTTCCGAAAAGTTTACAAATTTTTCAACTTTCAAGGTTTCGAAAAACTTAGGTAGGGGAGGGGGAGAAAAAAATGTATCGGAAAAAGTTTTCACAAAATTTCAACAAACATTTTGCCACCATGAAGAAATTTCTTGGTTCTAAACCTCTCACACATGTAATTTTGTTGAGCTGTAAATTTCTGATGAATAAATACAAATATATCTGGGATTTGCGCCTTCGAATTCCCCTATCACTCCCAGGAAGTTAATCTTCGACCGGGTTTTATGTGAAATGAGATTATGAGACTTCCAGATTATCCAGTTCGCTTTCGGTGCACCTCTGGCCTGCAGTGCGGGGCGCCGCGCCGGACCTAGGCACGCGCGGGTTTGCCCGATTATAACAACGTATGCTCACATTGAATTCGTATGCAAATAGCATCCAGTTATACAGAATATCCTAGTTTATCGCTCCAGAGATGTGCATACGAACTTGAATCATCGATTATTTGAAAGATGTCTAGTCAATTGATGTTCGAACAAGTCGAGCTCTCCTCTCCGGAATCGTATGCAAATGTCGGGAAACTGATTGATGGGTCCGAATTCATTGTTTCGCCAAAGGGCATAAATTCTAAGATCATCGACTATAAGACTGAAAAATTGCCACTTCCGGTTCGTATGCCGCCCTTGCGGAGTGACCTAGGCGTATGCAAACCGGCAAGCGCCCCAATTTTCGTGAGATGAGATCATTGCACTTCATTGCCGAGCTTCTTCTTGAACAAAATTTTGAACTTTTTTCCAACCGAAAGGTGAGGTCAGGGCCGGGGCAAGGACTGGGTTGCGACTCTCCGAGGCACTCCTTCCTGTTAACTTGGACTAAGTGAGTGGGTCCCTTAAATGGCATACCGACTTAGAACATCGAACATACAATGAAGTATAAAACAAAACTGAAAACATGCTTCATTGAAATATAGTGCGGGGCAGCCTTTGGGATAGAAGTGAAAACTAAGTAACTTGTGAACTGTATCGTAGATAAGATGATTATCATTTTAATCCTTTTTAGTTGGCATGAATCTCTCAATCCTGACGAATGATTCATAATCTCCGACCCCGAATACCCTAAGAAACAAATTTATAATGAAATCGAATCATATAATTAAAAAACTCGTCCGCCATATTGGATCCACTATCTGAAATTCTCTATTTTGATGCAGGAGTTTTCACTTCAATAATTTACTACAACAAAAGTCAAAATGTATTTCACAACAAAAATAAGTAATTCTGTACTGCTCCGCATGGGTTAATTGTTTCGCCCTGTCTCTAGATGGACCAATTCAGCGTGTATTTTGATTGCTCAGAAGACTAAAATTTCAATGTCCTTCGTGGTCAAGTCACTGGATAGCAGAAAATCTGAACGGAATCTCCCATGCAGCAATGAATTTGCGCCTTCGAATTGTCCATCTGTTGGGTTAGATATTCATCATTTTCATTTCATCATCCAAATAATCCGAAACTGTAGAGTTTCGTGTCTGATTGTTGGAAATTCTGTGTCCACGTTTGTAATAATGGCATAATATAATGGTCTGCGCTTGGCATGGAATTATGGTTGCGCAGTAAACAGAACGGAGTAACGAACATTTCTTTATCCTCCGTATTTTATTTTTTCGAAATAGAATCCTATGTTCCTTCTAATACATCTGAGAATATGTTGATCTGTACAGTAGTTTTGGCGTGGGAGCCCAACAAACAATCTCATATTCACATTCACAATATTAGGAGGGAAGGGATATTGTCGGTGACTCATCTTGCCTACTCAAGAACGTTCTATCATCAATAAACTGACTTTACACAACATTGCTCGACCTACGTTCTCATAGGAAGAGAGATTCATCAGATAACGTAGCTCTTGTATTTTTATGTTGATAAATATTTAGGAATTCCTATTTCATTACAGGCCCAGAAACAGCAGGAGAACGAATACTGAACCTCGCCAAAGATTTCTCAGTCACCTTCAAAGGTGTGCCAAACTTCGGATTCTTCTGGATGAACTCTTTCAGTCACAATAAACTCAACTCGCCTACCGGCATGGACGACAAAGTGAAAACCTTCCTGGAGGACTTAACCACGACAGGTGTCACGGAAAACAGTATAGTATTCTTCTTGAGCGACCACGGAATGCGATTCGGAGACATAAGAGTGACTGACACCGGATGGCTGGAAGAGAGATTACCCTTCATTTACGTCTCTTTCCCCAAGTGGATCCATCAGAATTATACCAAGGAATACGAGAACTTCAAGAACAACACCTACAAGCTGACCACACCCTATGACATCTACATGACGCTTCAGCATATTCTGGTGTTGTCTGGGCATAACTACACAGTGAAGGCCAGCACAGCTTGTCCACAGTGCAAGTCCCTGTTTGAGGAAATGGAGAGTGAAAGGTCTTGTGAAGATGCTGGTATAACACAGCATTGGTGCACTTGTACAGGTTATAAAGAAACTTCGCTAGATGCAGAGGTGACAAACAAAGTATCTAATTTTTTTCTAGAGAGGATACATAGCTTGATTCGTTCGAGGAATAGTGATCATAGATGTGCCAAATATTCCGTAGATAAAATTCTAGGTGCCAGCCTTTCTCAACGTTTGTTATATAAAAATGAGACGTACTTACTTGTTAAATTAAAAACTAATCCCAAAGCCATATTCGAGACAACTATCACTTACGTAGGCGATATAAGAAGCTCTAATTTCTCACTTTCTGGAGGTATCAGTAGATTAGACAGTTATGAAGCACATAGTAGATGCGTTGATGACGCATATCTTAGAAACTATTGTTATTGTCGCTCTACAGGTGTGAGAGTTTGAGCAAGTGCCTTTTTCAAGATAACAAGACTTGTTTAGTTCACTGACCTATTGACAACAAATAATAATGGATGGACAATGCAAGTTCTCAGTTTTCCGCTGAATTGAACTCGCTCATATCACGTGATCAGCTTGGAAAAATTGGTTGACGAGTATACCCAGTACTCAAATCGTACACGAGGCCATATAAAGAGGAAACCGATCCAACGTTGTTGATATATTATTAGCAACAATTGGTGCGAAATATCAATGTCTGATCCTTCCACAATACGCCAATGAAATGAGATATTGAAATCCAAAAGCGTGATGTGTGGTTGACATTTTCTGAGATGTCGTTAGGGCCAGTTAGCTTCGAAAAATCTGTGCTCGCTTCGTAATATGTTGAAAACGGCAAAATAATTTGGCTCTCCTCATGTGTTCCATTCTAACTCATAATGAAGAATGCGTTCTTCCATGAAAGGTTTGATTATTGTTTCAGAAGTAGAGCAACAATTCCAGCTGAATTGCAACTCTGTACTATTGATACCTACATATTATAGTACTTCAGAAATTTTCGTAAAAAAAATTAAATTCAAAGTTTTGCTCTTTCGCAACATAACCAGTCACTCAACCTACAGAAAGAACCTTGGAAATAAAGTTCTTCTGGATTCTCATGGTTTCCCTTAGAGCACAAAATATAGATCTGATAGTTTTCTCAAAATTTGTTATGGATGAATCAGTATTGACCATTGCAATCTATTCAGATAGCCAGACGGCAATCAAAGCAGTCAACTCTATGCAAGTTAACTCAAAACTAGTATGGGACTGCTTAGAAACCCTAAATGCACTGAGCAGTCAGAACAGATTGACTCTAGCATGGGTACTAGCGCATACAGGGTACGAGGGCAATGAAGAGGCAGACTCCCTTGCCCGAGCAGGAGCAAACAAAGCTCTTAATGGCCCAGAACCCTTCTGTGGCATTGCGAAAGCTATACAAAAGACTAGTATCAAATCATGGATGCAAACCAAATCTCAAGAATGGTGAAACAACTCGCCAGGAATGAGACAAGCTAAAGAGTTTATTAAAAAACCATCGCCAACATTCACAGAATATCTGCTAAGCCAAAAACGAAGTTCAACTAGAATACTAGTGGGACTCCTCACAGAGCATCGTAGGCTCAACAAACACATGAGTACGATAGGTCTGACTGAAGAACTGCTGTGCAGGTTCTGTCAAGAAGAGGAAGAAACAGCAGTACACATACTTTGCCACTGTGAGGGCTTGTCAAGACTAAGGTTCCTTACACTGGGTGAGGAAAAACCAGGAGCCCAGAGATACACAGGAGATCTGAAAGCTAGCCTATGGAGTCTCATAGAGAAGGCGGGGCTAGCCGAAGAACTCTAATCGATTTTGAGGGCAGACACAATAGATCTGAAAAGGTCGCAGTGTGGAGGTAGATAGCCCGAAGGCCCCATTCCAAATCTAATCTAATCTAAATCAGTATTGACCAGGAAATGGCTTCATTCAAAAAAATTCAGCATGACATGTGATATGACATGTGATATAACATGGAAAGATAATTAATCGGGCGTAATTGCATAAGAGATAATATTTTTATCGATGATTACATGTTTGATCATTGTATGAAAGTTTTATTGTCATGGTAAATATTCAAGAATCAAGGTAGTGAAGAAATTGCGAGAGCTTGTTCGAGTGATTTTTACTACTTACCTTGATTTGACATTTTCACATTAATATTATCTGAAAACCTTTCTCGAATGTATTTTATGAAGATTAATATGCAAATACGGTATAAACACAATGGGAGAGCTTCTTTCCATTGAATTTTCATAAAATAAGTACGGAACCAGATTCAAATGTCCTTACCAAATCGCTCTCAGTTGTGAGCAAGCAAGCTTTGTGCATACTCTCTGATCCACCCAAGACTTGCCATAAATAGCGCTATATTTCTGATCGACGGAGATGAGGACGCGACCACGACGATCCTTCATCGGCTGAAGGGTAGATTGAGATTTTTTTATGTTCTGGTTCATAAAAGGGATATCCTGTAATGTTCAGAGAACATCGTGAGAACCAAGGGAAATGGGGTAGGAATTGGTAAAATTTCTGGAGGCTATATGCCTCGAGGAATACCTCTCTTGGCAATGTGTTCCAGAGCCTTGCTGTTCGTTGGATGGACGAGTCTTTGGAATTGTTGCCAAGTCCATATTTATGTTGTCAACAATCCTTCCTTGTTCGTTTCTGATTCGCCTGGCTGGTATTGGAGTCCTGGAAGAGAAGGTGGTATGGAGGGTACTATCATCCGCGAAGCTGTGTACTGGACATGAAGTTGCTTCTAACAAATCGTTGATATGGAGTAGAAATATGGTTGGTGCTAGTATTGGTCCTTGCGGAACACCAGCATTTATGATAAGAGAGTCAGATGAAACTCCGTCGACCACTACATGGAGAGACCTGTTTGAGAGGAAACTAGCTAGCAGAGAACATAGCTGGGGAGGCATGCCATAAGATGATGGGTATCACACAGATGTGAGAAATACGAAATGCAAATAGTCTTATCAAGTCCACACTAGCCCAACATATCCTAATGAACACTTTCGACTAATATCTCTAAAACACAATATACTGCCCCCAAAAGGTCGAAAGAATATACAGCCAATCAATATAATTCGATTGCCAAAAGAATCGATCCTACCATTTATGTAACTAGCTTCACCAATATCATTCACATTTTTGCTTCGAATATGGAATCATTCTTGATGAAATACTTTGTGAATCCTGATGACCCTTTTTGATTCCTCCAAACCAAGAAGCTGGATACGATGGATCACAAATTAACTATCAAGTCTGACTACCACTGCCAGACACATACATTCAGAAACCAGAAACAGTGACTAGGTATTTCGCAAACCAAGAGAGATTTATGACACACATCACATCCGTGACTCGAATTGAGAGTTCCACTGAAATCACAATAACTGCTATTCCGGAGCCTTTTTGTCATTTTATGATTCTCATTATGATGCCAAATGAAACTCACAGTACGTATCAAGCGATTCATCATTCAACATCTAGATTGATTGATGCCGTTTTTTACATGAGATAGCCAAGAATGTGAAGTTCCAGTGGGTCTCTTGGTTGTTCGGGAGTCTCACGAATTCACATACATTTTAAGTTTCAAATCCAATAAAATGTTCCCTGGTTAAACCAATGATGTTTTCTCGTTATTCGCATTGTTAGGTACCTAGCGAGACATGAATATGACATCCCAGGGATGTTTGTGATAACTGCGCTATGACCCTCCTGGATCCACCCTTGAAGCTGCTCATTCTCAGCAAATTGTCACCTTGTACATTCGCTCCAATAAGACTCCGGAACAGAGATCAAAGGTTTTTGTTCATAGGTCAGTATACTCCGATTCAATTCAAGTTTTATTCATCAAAAATTTCACAAAGTCAAGAATATTTTGTTGTAATAGTCCAATCAACGAAAGCAAAAAAAGGTTGGAAATGGCAAAAAAATTATGTGGTAGCAAATTTTCGTACTGTGATAGAGGGCCATGAACAATATTCAAAAAGTCCTGAACGATAGGGGATGAGCGGGTAGGTAGGGGAACGTGTGAACGTCTTGTTTTCAAGTTTTCCTTGAATAATGATGAAAGTGAAGTTGCCCCAATAGTTTTTACATGAAGTATAGTTTATAATAGTTCTCTGTGATATCTTTAGGTGAATTAACCGATCTGGAAAATTTAATTGGAATGGAAAGTGACACGTTGTAAACTCTCCACTTTTATTGTATATAGATTAAAGTAAATAAGTGTACGTAGTTAAACATATTTCAAATTGAGGAGATTTTTTGAATATTTTATTATTTCATTATCAAAAATATCGGGTGCCAAAGCAGTCCATACCTATGTGGTCTCCAGCATTCATAACTGAATTTCAATTTCTGTTAGCATACGATATCAACAACATTGTTGAGAAACATACTACTACATTCCTAAAATATAGTTACAAAAATGGAACATTGAAGTTCCTTATATATATCTTTTTTTTTCACCACTAGCTATAAAATCTACCATTTTTTACTCATCTTGAAAACGTTTTCACTACCAAAGTAGTTTTTGTCAATTTATGAACCACTAGTCAATAAAGACATAGCCACATCCGTTATAATCAACCCAAATTCACTGTTCTGATGCGATATTCAAAGGAATGGCACTCGAATCTAGTAGGTATTTATCAATAACGAAATAGAATTGAAAATGAGTGCTTTCAAAGTGAAGAAGGTCCACATTTCACATTCACAAGACTGTAATAATTGTTATATATTGCTGGTGGTGAAACAAATGTAATATACAGCACCTTGGTTGTAAAGAATATGTTTACCACGAGACCTCATAATACCCCTCGGCTGAAGCCTCGGGATATAATCTTGGTCCCCCAGTAATATTGATATGCTTCACTACCTTGGTGTATAAGTAACTATTATGGCTATCTATAGTATCTGGTAAACTAGAGTCACTGGTATTAGGGTCCCTTGATGGAAATTGACGTTAAAGTCATCATAACAGGGTACGGACAGATCATAGCTGCATTCTTTTTAATGATCTAGAGATTTTAGTTTTGTCTACTGGCATCCCTGACATTGCTGTCACGTCACATCCATGGGCGCTACAGAAAATCATTCAAAATTTTAATTATAGTTATGTACAGGGTATTTACTTGTTGAGGAAGATCATATGGCGAACGAGTTATGTAATCATGGTCCGATTCTATTCAAAATTGGAAGGTATGTGGGTTGTGGGTTTCCGGGGTTGGAGATGATGATTGTTTCGTTAAACTTGAAAAATTCAAGATGACGGATCCAATATATAGCAAACGAAATTTCTAATTATGATTTGATTCTATTCAAGATTGGTATCTGAGGGTTTTCGGGGTCGAACTTTATGATTTTTTGTCAAAATTGGGAAATTCAAGATAGCGGATCCAATACGGCGAACGAAACTTGTAATTATGATCCGATTCTATTCAAAAAATCAAAATTGGTGTCTGGGGATTTCCGGGGTTGGAGATTATAATTATTTCGTCAAAATCGGGATATTCAAGATGGCGGATCCAATATGGTGGATGAGTTTTGTAATGAAGATCCGATTCTATTCAAAATTGATATCTGAGGGTTTTCGGGGTAGGAGATAATGATTGTTTCGTCAAAAATTGAAACATTCAAGATGACGGATCCAATATGGCGAAAGACATTAGTTTATATAATTATTATTACTCTACCACAAATAGAAAATATGTAGAATGCAAGAGTGAAAATAACGTGCCTATAAGTTATACTGTGTATATACAGGGTGTCCCACTAAGGTCGGCGAGGTAGGATATTACGGAAGCCATTAACTTTACAGCTTCAGGAAAAAAAATCTATCGATGAAATTGGCAAAGAGAAATTGATTTAAAATATTTTCAAGTTTCTCAAATGACCGGTAGGGGGCGAAGTTACCATGATAAAACAAGAAATTCAAATTATCTCAGGAAATCGCTCGGTGAGGTACTTTTTTGATATCGGAAATGAAAATATCATTAATTTTGAGTCAGGTTGGTATATGGACTTTTTTCGTATCTTGAATAATAATGGTGGGGGAAGCTTGTGAACAAAATATTTTTTGAATAGCTGTATCTTCCATACCCTTCATCCAAATTCAATCAACTTGGGCTCGTTTGAAAGGTAATTTCACTCTCATTTCAAAACTGACTTTGTTCATGGTCGCTAGTTCACACCGCGTCTTATAGAGGGCGCAGTTTACTAACCATTAATTTTTTTCGATTTTTCTCGAAAAATTCAAATGGAATGATACAT